GTACTACATTCAGGACTTCTTTTATTAATATATTTTGAAATTTTTATTTTATTATCCAACTCAATCCATAAGTTCTTAAAATATGGATGTGATATTGATGTCAAAAAAGCCACATTATATTCAAATCATAGGAAAATATTTTCTTAAAATCTTTTACCCATACCATCTTGGGCAGCTTTTAAAGGTAGACAATATTGTAAAATTGAATTTTTAAGATAACCTATGCCCCTTTTAACTACACATAAATAATATACTCTATAATATTTTTAACAAAATTTGTGTTTAACCCTTTATTATTTTTTTGATTATACAGGTTTTACATTTAGCCTGTAAATTGTCTTTTTTAACTTATATTTAAAAACCATATAAAATTTTAAGATTATATGATTCAGTGGAACTTATTTCTATAATTAAAATTTTACTACCATGAGTGTTAATTATCCTAAAATTAAAAATATTACATAAAATTGATAATGATATTCTATCGAGTTACATTTATATCGGTGAAAGCCGTTTAAATGGATTCGCAATATTAAATATTTATAAGGAGTTTTTCTAGATAAAAATTTGATTCTAGATGAATTAGTCAAATCTCAAAGAAAAGTGGACCTCTCTTTATAAATTTAAATGATAAAATTGCTATATTATTATAATATGAACTTAGTCATAAAATTTTATATTCAAAACGTAATTATAATGAATTCCTAGTCATAATAATTATATATTATACTATTTTTAATAAAAATATAGCATATGCAGTAAGAATTAGTGATCTGTCTAAATTTTCAACCCCACCCGAAATTATTTAAAAAAAGATTTGCCGGCCCGAACCCGAATTTTTTTTAAAAAGTTTTATCGGCCTGGCCCGAATTTATTTAAATATAGAAATTCATTTTTATAATTACTCAAAATAAAAGATATTTGTTATATGGCGTCTAGTTTTTATAAATAAAATCAAATATTTTTATTTTACATAAAAAATTTAACATAAAATTGATATATTTGGATATATTTATAAAATTTCCAAGGCCCGACCCAGCCCGAACCCGATTTTCCTACTTTTGCAGATCTCCAATAAGAATTATTTATGTTTTATTAATATACTCATTTGTATTAATTATAATTGTTAAATTAGATTTTTTTTAAAATAGTACAAGAATTACTCATATTTTATTAAAATTCTATTTTTTTAAATATAGTTATTTAGAATAAATTTATAATATAATCTGTTTAAAATTTATACATTTTGAAATTCATTTTATTGTATAAATAATAAATAAAATCTATAATGAAATTCTATGCAAAATTTTGTTAAAATAATTATTTTTAACTATTGAGTGTTCATAAAAAATAGGAGGTTTGGGAGGCGATTTTATTCTTCTTTCTGCGCCGAATAGATTGAATTATTTACAATTGACTAAATATTGATAAAATTTTCAGAATAATTCATTCGCGTATTAATCATAAATTTAGCCAAAATTTTGTTACTAATATTTTTTTCATTTAAGCTGGCTACTTTAGTGGTTAGACACCAATAAAGCACAAAATTTATTTTTATATTAGGATTTGGGGGCGAAGCCCCCCAAAATTTTTTTAAAACCCACACCATGGATCAATCCTGGCTAAGCCTCTGAATATATACGAGAAATTAATATATAAATAAAACCATTTTCTCGTTTCTTAAATTCTTTTACCAAACCTTACATCATGAATCTTAATCCCTCCGTTAAAACTATGCTAAACGGGTCCCTTTTCTTATCCTCCTTAAATATTAATGGCATCAAAGACAAAATGTCAATCCTTATGACGCTGCTATCAAATGACTCCACCGACATAATAGGATTATAGGAAACCCACTCCCCCGACAACCATTCGGCCCAATTTACAAATTATATATACTACAGCTCTGGAACTACGGTCAACAAATGGTTAGGTGTGGCCTTCCTTATCAAAAATAAGCTCAAAAAATATATCATAAAATTTGTCCCCATAACTGAAAGCGCAGTACTATACCTGTATACCGCTTACAACCCCACAATTCTCCTCAATGTTTACGTCCCCTCAAAACTTGCAGAAAGAATGTTATTCTTGGAATATCTAGAAAACGTGATAAGCTCCTTACCAAAAAGATACAACATTATAGCGATGGGAGATTTCAATACTAAAATAGGTCATTACATAAAATACAAAGTAAGTAAAACTATAGGCAACACAACAGTTTATAACAGCAACGATAAGAATGGGAAAAAAACTTCTCCAAATATGTTTTGACAACAATCTAAAAATCGAAAACACTTTCTTCAAACATAAACCTCCTCATCTCATGACCTTCTCAAGAGGTGGCCACTTCTCCCACGACTTCTTCCTATCCAATATCCACAGCTGGTTTGCAGACGTAAAGGCCATCCTAAATATAAATGTATATCACAAATTAAATAAAGCACATATAAAAATACGAAGTGAAGAATGGAGAAACAATAACACCAGGCGCGTCCATAGCACAACACGCGCAGCGCCAGTACAAACTCCCAAATGGCTCTTCACCAACATAAACAAAACAGCCTACAATGATACAATTTGCTCAGACATAGCTAGAATTATCCAGTCCTTCCTATCAAATCATTAGAGAAATGTTGGTCAGATTTCAAAAGTGCAATTTTCCACGCCTACAATAACCTAAATCATAGTTAAATACCAAAAAGAGAATGGCTCTCAGTAGAAACAAAAAACCTAATCTTATCAATAAAAAACGATAGCAGCAGCAATTTAGTACTGGAGTCGTATTCAGAGATTACTACGCCGTGATCGAAGGATCTTCTTAGCAAAGAGAGCAGAAGAGAGAAAAAGAAATAGAAATGGATATAAGAAATAACAAAACTCACGACGCTTACAAATAGCTCAAACACTTCTGCAAACCAGCATGCTTCAAGAAATTACCTATACTTACTCTACAAGGAGGTATCAAATAAACAGACCCTGAAGAGCAAATGGCCATCTGGAAAGATTTCTATATGTCAGCCTTCGAGTCCAGGATTCCTCCCAAGATAGCGAGCTTCCAACAGACAGGCTTGCCATCACCCCACTCCGATTTCTCCCTCATAGAAATCAACAGAGCCATAAGCAAGCTAAAAAACAATAGGACGCCAGGCTCTGATGGGATCAGAAATGAACATATGAAAGCCGCTATAGAAAGCTCTTCTAAATATCTATTAGCCATATTCACAAAAATATGACATTCAGGCAAAACCCCAGATGATTGGAATAAATCCACAATCTGCAACTTCCCCAAGAAACTCCATCCTTCATCGTTCGCAGATTACAGAGCCATCGCTCTCCCTTCCACTGTCTCAAAGGTGTTCATAGTGCTCCTGAAGAACAGAATCCTCGCTTCTACCAAAAACCTCCTGTCAAGTAACATTTGCGCTTAAGGGCCAAATAAGAACATTAACGAACCCATCCTAGCTCTCAAAATCCACCTCCAAAAATGCTTCAGATACAAACTTCCCTTCATATTTACTTTCATTAACTATAGCAAAGCCTTTGACATTAAACACGATGCCCTTTGGGAGGTTCTGTAGAATGTAATGTTGATCAAAACATAATCAAAATCTTGAAATATCATTACAACAATTCCTGGGCTAGGTTACAGCTAGGCCGTACTTTCTCTCCTTACTTCAGGATCAGAAGAGGCGTGAAACAAGGGTGCGTTATATCACCCATTCTTTTCAACATAGTCATACACAAAATCATAAAAGAAACCACGAGCACCATGAACCTAGTCGATCTTTCATCAAACAATAACAATATCAATCATCTAAGAGTCATCTCGTGCGCAGATGACCTGGTTTTAATTACCAAGCCAAGAGATGAGACAATAGACTTACTAACATGTCTCTGCTTCCACAGCAACAAAGTCGGCCTAACCATCAACTTCAATAAAACTTTTATCATACCATCCCCAGAGGCGTCAATAGATAACTTAACATTTTAGGGGAATGAAATCAAAATAGTCAATAATTTCAAATATATTGGCGTGCTTATTGATAATAAAGGAAACATCAGTGGCCAAATCGAAGCCCGACTAATAAATACCAAAATTACCTTCAGGAAATATCACAAACTATGGACAGCCAGAGACATCACAGTCAAAACGAGACTCCGAATATTTAATGTACAGTCATTCCAGTCCTCCTCTACAGCAGCGATACTTGGGAAATAAATAAATCTCAGACAAAGAAAATACAGGTTTTCGTAAACCGCTGTCTGCGCTAGCTCAACGGTATTTTCTATCCAAGATTAATTTCAAATGCCAGCCTATGGCGAATCTCAAAAAACGTCCCGATTGAGATACTCTCAAAAACAGACACATCCAACTCTTTGGTCATACCATCAGAAACTTCAGACAAAACATAGTTCATGAGGCTATAATCTGGCTCCAGTCTCATGAAGGTAAAACCTACGGTAAATACAAGTCATATTGGCTGTACAGAACGATAAAAGAAGTCATAAGCCTAAATCTGGAACAATTTATAGTTCTAAACAATAATAAAGGCTCATCTAAAAATCAAATCCAGCTACCTACACCCTCCAAATCTCTCAGCCCCCCTTTATCGATTCTTGCGCGCACAGGTAACTGAAGCCTGCCCAAAAATTGTAAATAGACTCATCTCATAGGCTATCCCCAAATTTCTTAACCAAATTAGATGGGACGAGATAGTCCAAGCGTAGCTTTGCTGTTTCATATAGCAATAAAGGGCTATTGCGCTTATTATGACGTATGACGTATTTATATAAAAATATAACATATTTTGGGTTGTAATAACAGCGAATAGGATTTTAGATAAAATATATAGATCAAAGTGCTGTAGCTAAACAAGATAATATATAAATTTTTAAAAACCTTTATCAATAAAGTAGTGTTCCCATTTTTAGTTTATCTAGATGAGTCCATAATTATAATGATTGACTGTTTAGTAGTCTCTGTCACGTAAACCTGGGTTTTCCATAAATGTTATATATGTGAATGTTAACACAACCGAAATGGGAACCCCTATTATAGATCATTCAAAAAGAGTTATGCATGATTTAGGTAAACAAAGTATATTAATAGATATATATACTATTTATCAAATTATATTATATCATAAAACTTTATTCAATAATTGGCTCTTAAAATAAACATTAAATTTTGATGTCGATATTATGTAAAATTCTGTAGACTCTATTTTTTAAAATTAAATTAACTATATTATCATTTACCTATATATGTCATAGGGTTATAGCATATCTGTTTTTTAGCAAATTTTAATTTTTATAATAAAATAGTCCACATTTATCAATGTTGAAAACTGATTTTATCAGAATTCTATTCCAACATGAAATCTGCACAGCCTGAAAGCACTGCTAGGATAATATATCAAAATTTGGGCTGGGTTGGGAATTTTTTAAACCTTGAGTAAGCTAATTTTTAATTTTTTGAATCAAATAATTATGAGCCAAGCTGGGCAAATAAAATTGGGCTTCTGGGAATCATGTGTAAAAATGGTTTTTAAGGCCAGGGTAATCCAACCCAGAATGTATTTTCATCTTCACCCATTTTAGGCCAATTATTTAGTAAATCCCTATAAATTTCTGTCAATTATTTAATCAACTTTTGAACTGCTACTTTATATTAATATTTTGATATAAAAAAGATAAAATTTATTGCAAAATTCTTTAAAATTTACAGGGTAGGTGCTTTATACTTGCTGAAATTCTGGTCCTTCAAAATTTTACAAATGTATGACATGAGTAATTTTGGTTATCAAAATTAAAAATCAATATTTTATAAGGTTGTCAAAAATCAAAAAATTAATTGTTATTTATATATTATAAATTAAACTAGCTGTCAGAATTTTCTTCTTTATTCAATGATGGATGAATAACAAATTTTATCTTTATTTGATGATGAATAAATCAGAAATTTGTCTATCTTATGAGGTGTAATTTAGAAATTTATATTTTTTTGCTCAAAACTCATCTAACAAGAATATATTTTTTAGATTATAAATTAAAAATACAAATGAATAAAAATTTTGTTTATAAGATTTTTTTATTGTGCACATAAATTAAAATTACTAACCATATACTTCATAAGCATATTTTATAAAAAATATAGAAAATTTTAGAATAACCCTCATCCAAATAAATATAAATTTCTGAATCAGTTATCATCAAATAAAGGCAAAATTTATTATTCATCAATCATTGAATAAAGAAGAAAATTATGATTCCCCATCATTCTGGAAGGGCTATCAGCTAGTAACCTATATTTTTGATAACGGGTTTTTAAAAAATCCCTAAAATATATATAAATTTAAAGCAAGGTCACAAGGCAATATTTTATTTATTTATGCTAAAATAAAAAGATTAATATTTCCTCCATATATACACTTTACAATGGCTTTCTTTATTTCCTTGTTTCAAACAATTTCTTGATTTCCAGAAATTATCAGAAATTTTTTTGCAAATGATTTAAATAAGGATATATGTGGTTTGCCTGTTCAAATAAAGTCAGATGGGAAATGAAATAATTCGGTTATTGAAATTTGAGACCTTTACGGGCCTTGATTTTTTAATCAGCCTCTAACCCAAGTCAGCAGTAAAAATAATTTACAGAAAAATTCAAACTCAAGACCATCATAATTTTCAATTTTGCCCAAGCCCATATCCAAAAATTTAATTTATCATTTTAAATGAAAATAGACAATATTTAAGTGTATTTAGGCAATTACTTTGTTTGCAATACTGAAATTTATTATTATTAGAAGAAAAAATGCAATATATCTTTAAGTACAGTTTAATAGGCTAAATAATTTTTTTTAGACTTTTTATCAAAAACCCAGTCCTGGCCCAGGCACATTAGTAAATATATTATAACTGGCATATGGGCCACAAGCCTCTCTATGAAGATCTCTGATTGAAATGTTAAACCATTTTAAATCATTAAAATATTTTGTCACCTGAGTTAGGAGGTTATTCTATCTCCATTTTTGTGAAATTTTTTTGATAGATTAATTATTTAAGAATATATTTTTATATTAATATATTTACATAAAAAAATATTAGAATTTTAACTTATAAAATAAATTATAGTTAGTATATCAGTTAGTAGTTCTCTCTCCATATTTCTTCTTATTGTTAAAATTAGTGTTGTTAAACAGCTCGATTTGAGCCGATATTTTAAAACGGCTAACACAACATTATAGCCAGGAAAATATTGCCTATGCGCCGAGATTTCGCCAATAGATGCTCAATCCTATGTGTCATCTATGGGGTCATTCCATGTCAAATCAATCACTATTCGGCCGACCCCTTTCGATTTTGATGAAAAATCGTAGGCTGGTTATATATGTTCCCATTAGATTAGAAATAAAATTTTAGCGGATGAGCAACTATATTAGCGGAGATATTCGGGGTTAAAGGTCTAAAAAACGTCTTTTTTTGCTTTTTACTGATGTTAAATAACTAGTTTTTAATTTTAAACTAAATATGATCAAATATTGAATATAATATCAATAGCTAAATTAATAATTTATGATTATGGCAAAAACATCAAAATTAATTTTTGATAAAATATGGGTCATCTTATGGTCAGTTGAAAACTTGAAATTAATATTTCGAAATGTATATGATCTCCGATTTTTAATTTTTTTAAGAAATATTATCCGCTTACTATTTTTTTAATAATTTCTTCAACAATTAGCATGGCTGGATATTTATTTTAAAAAATATTGCGATTTTTATACTTTAAAAAAAATAGATGGCGCTATATATAATAGTTTTAATATGTTAAAATTCATTTTTTTATTGATTAAAAATATTTTAATGTATATATATCATACTAAATCGATTACAATGTCCATTATATATATTTATTTGTAATTCAGATCATAAATTTTTAAAATCTTCACAAATTTAGCCTAATTAAGATAGTTTATAAATTAATTAAATCTTACTTCATCTAAAGGAACACAAAGCCTGGCTAGCTTGTGAGATTTATTCAGGAGATAATATATATGTTCGACCGGTGGGAGTAGAAGGATTGACCAGCGAAAGAATATGAGATTTAGGTAACACTAAAATATCATCTTTCAGGGGAAATTTAAATGAGGCTGAAGGTCCACAAGGGTGTAAAAATCGGATTTTTACTTCTTCATTTGTATCATATTTATCGATTATATATCCTAACCACCATTTATCATCATATACACATGTTACATATCCATTAATATTTTTAAATATAATTTTTTCATTTAAAAACGAAACTTGTTTTATATTATATTTTTTAGAATTTGAATATATTTTGGTTTTTAGTCTATTTTGATCAATGGGAATAACCCCGTGAATTTTTAAGGTCCCATGGATGGGCAGCGCAGAATTAAATCTTTTGCGAAGGGCTAATTCCCCTTCGATATATTCTTGATTTGATATATATTCAAATTGAATTCCATTAATATTTTCTTTAGCATAATTATATAATTCTAATGGGGTTAGGATTTGATTTTTATTTGGCCTTTGAAGACTAGCTCTGGCAACTAATCTTTTGACAGTTCCCCCGATACCGTCACATGCATTTTTGCCGTGAGCAGTGGCAAAGAAATGCCATTCGGCAGGAATATTAAAATCATATTTATGAAGGCATATGTTCAGAAAATTTTTGCGATTCTTGTATTGAGACGCGGCTCCATCTGAAAAATATATTATTTTTTCTGGTTTAGAATTAAATTTGGCTGTTAAGAAATTAAGAAATTTTTTTTGGTAAAGGTGGACTGCACTAGTATTATGGTTTAATGATTCGGATATAATAACAAAATTTATATTTTTTAAATCTTCTCCAGATTTATAATATGCTACAAATGGATGTATAGTGGCCTGCACGTTGTTCCAATGAAATCCCTGAACTTCATCTTGTAAAATGAAGGAATAATTTTCAGAATAATCTAGAATTGTTAAAAATTCCCCATCTTTTAAATTTTCTTTGGAATTCTTCAAAAATAAACTTTGTTGTTTAGCTATAAACGAGTGACGCAGTAAAATTTGAACTTTTTCTAATAAATAATCGATGAAATCATCAACGGACTTTATAATAGTTTCAAGATTTGTTCTATCCACCGTGATCCATTGTTTAAACGTGACATATTCTATACGATTTCTTTGAAACAATTGGTATAATTGTCCCTTAAGAGATTCTATACCAGGGCATTGATCACAATTTGTTAAATAACATTTTGGCTGAGATGGATTACAAATAATTTGCGCCAATAGATAGTTGTAAGAATTTATACAGTAATCTTCTCCTGCTGTAATTTCAGCTATTACATTTGTCATTAATTTCACATTCTGATGAATAGCGCAGACACAAACAGTGTGTGTGCCACTAGCTCCAACTAAAATACAGTTTTTTGGTCTAAGTTCGGCAAATTTAGAGAATCCAATTGATATATTTGGGTATTCTTCCTTAAACATCTTGAATATTTCTTTAAGATTATTTAATATAAGTCTTTTTTGAACTGGTTCTTTCTCGCCTTTAACAGATACACAATCTTTTATTCCTGGCATGAGTCGGCTTATTTCATCAGAACTATAAAAATCCTTGACGAGTTTAAATGTTTTTTCGTTTAGTGTCTTTCCTGCCTTATGTTTTGGAAATGAAAGAATTCCACTTTCTTTTACCATCATTTTAGATTTTCTTGCCATGTATGATGTTACGTTGAATTCCTTTTGAATTTTATTTACACTCCATCCTTGAGGCAAAATTGTAAGAATTTGATATTGTTGATTTTTTGATAATTTATCAAAGTTATCCTTTAATATAATAAGAATTTCCTCTTTCATTGGACTATCAATCTCGGAATCAGATATTTCTAAAACCTTACTCTTTATTGCTTTTTCAATCTTTTGAATTTTATTTTTAGGATATTTTTTCTCCATTAAACGTTTTCTTTTAATTGGTGATTCTCCAATATTGTGTAATGTTTCATTAATCGATTCAAAGGCATCCTGATTATGGGTTATTGGGGATATAAATTCTTCGGGAATATGTGGACC